TTTTGGTCCAGTTATTGAACCTTATTTAACACCAGATTGCGTGGTACCTAAGAAACCAATTGAATTAATGCGAACTGCTTGGAGTAATAAAATTCCTATGATTATCGGTGGAGTGTCAAATGAGGGATTACTTTTATATACAGGTAAGAGATGAAAATAGTAAACATTTTTTAAATTTATTAAAGTTCCTAAAAATTCTTATGTTAAAACAGTTTCCATTGATATAGATATAAAGTGACAAAAAAATAAAACAGAGTGTCTTAATTGAATAAATAAATCTTTTCGAATATGACGTATTTTATAGAATATATTTAAGTAAAATGCGTAACTAGCATAACTTTATTCAACTTTTCCAATTTACTATTAAATTGACTATTTTTTATTACGACTTCAAAATTTCTCTATATAGAATTTATAATTAAAATCTAAAAAATATACTCATTTCATATTCTCTTTTTTTTAGAAACTAAAACAAATCCAAAACTATTGAATGATTTGGGTGACTGCCGTTTTGTTGTCCCAATGGAACTTAATATGGATCGTGATAGTGAACTTTGCAAAGAGTATGGTCAACAGTTAAGAAAGACGTACTATGGTGAAAAAGATCCTAGCTTAGAGACTTTGCATGAATATTTACTGGTAAGCACATTTTCAAAAAATAAATTAAACATTGCTTTAAAATTTCTTCTATAACTTTTTGCAGATGGTCTCACATGAATATTTCTGGTTTCCAATATACCGTACAGTATTATCGCGCATGGAGCATGCTCCAGATGTACCCACATTTTTATATCGATTCGATTTCGACTCTAAACATTTTAACCATCTACGCATATTGAGTTGTGGAAAAAAAGTACGTGGCACTTGTCATGGTGACGATCTCTCCTATCTTTTTTACAATTCAGTAGCTCGTAAGTTGAAGAAAACCAGCAGAGAGTACAAATGTATTGAAAAATTGGTCGGCATGTGGACACATTTTGCTACCTATGGAAATCCAAACTTTGATCCTGAACTAACCGAATTATGGCAACCATTAACACATGTAGCTGTTGAGAAACGGCAGCCTAAGTGCCTTAATATATCAGATGATTTGAAAGTGATCGATGTGCCAGATATGAAAAAGTTGATGATGTGGGAGAGTTTCTTCGGACGTAATGAGCTAACATAGATAGTTTATCTGAAAATCTGCTCTGCTGTTCTGTTTTATAATTTATTGTTAGCTATATGGTTCTTAAGTTTTCTTTAAGAACTTGAGCAAATTGTTTATTAAGTTAAAGCTAATAACCTTACGGTTGTCATTAGATAAATTTATATTCTAATCCGTTGATTTTTTTCTTTTTTTAAGAGTTAGCATAATTCGTTATACTATAGATTTAAAATTAAACGTAAAGCTTTAAAACTTTTAAAGAAACTACGAAAGGAACTAAATTAATTTCTATGAGATAAAAACTATTTAACTTTATATTCTAGCAAACTAAGTGATGAATTGTCTTGTTAAAGTTGTATAGCACGAAAAAGGTAGAAAATATTGCAATGCATAATGTTGAGATAAATAAAATGTGATTTGTTTATAAGCAAATATCGGTTAGGTATAGATCGAGACATAGTTTTTAGTATAAATGAACTATTTTTTGTCAAACGAAACAAATTAAACTAAACTTGTTGAAACTAAGCACAAAATAGCTTAAATAAAGGGCTTAAATTATAGTTTTAAATTTAAGGATAAAGATGATATTTAAGAATGAGAAATTTTTTTTGAATTGAATAAGAAAGTTATAAGTCGCAACTGAAGTACCTACAGATAAATGGAATTATTGTATACTAGGCGTACAAAATAAAATAAATAAAAAATAATAAAATATAATTAAATTAGATTTGCTTTAAAGCAATTTTACTATATACATAATTTAGGAAACTATGGCTATCTTCTTCCTTTAGTGCTATTGTAGAAATTTAGTTGACTATTTCCATAGTTTTAGATTTGGCTATTATTATTTTAAGAACTTTCGTACCATCATTTTAACAAAAACAAACTATGCATTGGTAGTTTTCATGAGTATCTTCAATGCGAACTAATATATACCTTTTATATTTCCTCATAAGTAAATCAATACCATACAAATAAAAATTAAATATCTTCAGCCACGAAAGCAACAACACGCTATAACTACCACCTTCTGTGTCCAACTTTTCAAAGATCCTATTTGTAGCTGAAGAGCCACAGTTTATGAAAATGATAATACATATTCTCCAGTTGTCATACAAAATATACACATGGTACACATTTAACTTTAGAGACACAGTCAAGATACTCGTGAAATAACTTTAATTAATAGTAAAATTTTATTAGAATATAGCAGACATAATAATTTTTACTTCTGTTTAATTTGTAGTAATTTTCATTAAAAAAAACAAACCTACTCAATTAGGGGCTTGAAAAACTAATTTTTGACGAATACCCGTTCTCTTCGGATATCAAATTACAAATAAAAATTATAGAAATAATAAATAAAGGTTTGTCATTTAAATCCTTCATATAAAAATGCAAAAAATGAAGCATCCTTAATATAAATCTTATTAAGCACAAAACGCAACAACAGTTTTCTTCTTGAACCCAAAGATTTTTTATTAAAGCGAATAGTTAAACCGTTCCAATAAAATAACTTAATATATTTTTTTTAACATAAGAAAATAATATTATTTTAAATAATTTAACATTTAAATATATTATAAAAAAAAAATAAAAACATTCACCTTTTCACTTTGAGACGAATTTTGATGCACTTTTGAGATACATATTTGCAAAATGTTCAAAACATATTTTTTAATAAAAAAATTCATACATATTATAAGTAAAAAGAATTTTCATATTTAAATATTGTTATTCGAAAGAAAAATATTTATTTACATAAAAGAAAGCATATATTTATAAAAGCGAAAATAAACATATTTATATTTTTAACGAATTTTCATGGAAAAGCTTCAAATCATGTGATGCCAATTTTAAAGAAGAGAAAATAAATGATTCTGTATTTAAACTGTGAAAATAAAATTAAATAAATAAAGAAATAAGCAGCTAAAACAAATATCTATTATTTATTTATTTAAATGATCAAATTTAAATGAAACAATAATATAGTCAATTGCAGTTATAAAAAGGGCGAGCAGTAATCAATAACACTGCCGTTTGGAAATTGCCCCATTCTTCTTAAATTCAGCTTTGATGACATGGTGAAGTAATGATTTTATACTTTTTCACTTCCAGGGGCCCCTCTCAAATCCAAATTGTTTGAAATAAAAACTGCTGATTGAAGTTATCTGTCTATCGAAAAAAACTATTTATCTATCAAATTATTACAATTAAATTTTTATCAAAACTAGTTTGAATTTATTTGGATGAAGTTTTTAAAATTTTTAATGAAATGTTTTTTGAAAGTAGAAAATAATGTTTCATTTGCATATAATAAATTTATGATATATTAAAATATTTTAGTTGTTGAGTAAAGCAAATTTTCTGAAGTGCAAATACTGTTTTCATAATAACAGTTATCTGGAGCATGTGTGTGCCAAATATAGGCCAAACTGTATTATTTCTATTGAAACTATGTTTCATTAATGGTTTAAATTCTCAATTGTAAAATAGTTCCATATAATTAAATCACATTTATTTTATTGAATTATTAAAAACAAAATGAAACAACTAAACCATGCTGAAATCCGGAATATATATCCAACTGGTAGATATTCTTAAAAAACGGCGAAGTGTTGAGAAATTTAAAAGATCTTTAAAATTAAGACTTGCGTCTATATACCAAACGAATACTAATTTCAAACATTGGCAAGCTAAGACTTTAAACTTTATCTGATAACATACAAACTCACGCTAAAGAGTAAAAAAATCATTAATACCAACTCAACCAATGAACCTGCCAGTACTGTCGTATCTATAGCAGTGAAAGTTTTGATTATCTGTAAGTAACTGTTCAAAAAACCAGTACACTCAGAAACACCCGCTGCTTGGTGTAGAATTTAATCTGGAAGTATATTAGGACCATAATTTTCTAAAAAATATGAGGTGTGACGAACCGTTGATTCGAGTTGATTTGACGATTCGTTGATGAGTTCATAGTTGTTTTATAAGATTTCCAGTCCCGTTAGCTTCACACGTCTGTGTTCGTAACAAACGTATCGAGAAAATGCTATATATTGTTGTTCTTTAAGTGACCGCAGCCGTTGGAACAAACACAACACCGATTGCAAAAATGTTAGCATAAATGGTAACACCCTTCCTATGTAACTTCAAGGCTTAAGCACAGCCATCACAATATTGTCTTACGTAGTAAATTTAGTGTCCAAGACTACCAAAGTAACTGAATCGCATGATATTAGACTTAACTTCTGGTGAGATGTAGGAAGTGATAACTTATTATCAGTTATACTACAAAATAGTACATGGTGGTACTTAATGGATTTTAGTCGTCTTTTATGACAGGCATACGTTACCACGCGAATAGTTTTATTACTATTCCGAGGGGGGTCCCATTTCTATATGCTCTTAATGTGATGATGCCACACAACTCGTGTTGTTTTGTAGAAATTTCTCTTATGTATAACTTCGGGTTATCACATCTAAAAACTAACTGTTTTTAAATTTTGGAACAAAAAATTGGATAACTATTTATTTAAAAATAGTAAAGAAACATCAGTTTTATTTTGTTTCATTTCTGTAGAAGTGAAGAATTAAATTTACCAATTTTAGCTTACTTCAAAATTTTAGAATACTTTCAACATTTAGTACCCAAGTACCTAATTAGGTACGACTTCTATAAGTCGTGACAGTCAACGCACTTATCCGAATTGACCAATTGTTAAATGTGACGAACTTTTATTTTCTTCTGGTAAAGCAAACGCTCTCGACAGCACCCGAAAACGTATTTACGGACTAAAAAGTTATTTACGAAGACTTAAGTCGAGGAGTTGAATTATTTGTAATTAATTACAATCAACTAAATAATATATATAACATATAATAATAATTTAGTTAATTTACCTCAAAACTTGAACCCTACTTTAATTTGTTTTGGATTTTATGGCAAGCAGGAAATAGAATCCATCGAATCCGTTATACCGACAAGTGGTAACGATTAATTTTGAAGAATTCTATATGAATGATTTATTTACCAGGAAACGAGTAGTTAGCACTGAAATGTAACGGCGGCCTACGGGTAGCTAAATAAGTACGGTGGTCAAATAAGACTACATCATTTCGTTTTATTACAATATAAAAACTACTAAATACTTCATCTGTTCGTAACAACTATCTCTGCAAACATATACGTATTGTATACTATGTGTAAAAATGTTTTATAAAGCTATTATCTTTCAGTTCATAATACATTTAGTTTAACTTTGAACCTCTTTTTCAAGTATTGTATATCAAAAATGAACTTAAGGAACAAATGTCGTTAAGTACAATTATTGCTGAGAAATAAAAATTTCTGCCTACTAAAAGTATAAGCAAAATTCGTTAGTAATGACAAGCAGATAAAAAATTGTTTAATATACTTTTTGTAGTTTTAACTACAAAAGAAAACATCTATTAAAATCGTATAAATTATGAATAAAGAAACATTTTAATGACATAATAGAATGACGTTAATGAAGTGATAATTACATAAATCACACTTTTATCATTCTAAGCAACAATTGTTCACAACTTAACAAAACAATTAAAAAAAAAATTAACAAAAAAATTCTACTGTGGAAATATTCTATATAATTATATATTGTATATTGGAGTAAATTTTGAACAAAAAGTAATGCATGGGTAATTTTAGGTGAGTTGAGAAATAGCTTTATTAATTGATAGAGCAAAAAAACTCGGATTTGTTTAACACATGATAATATAAATATGAATTTTATAAAAACTTTTAATAATATTTTATTGTTTATTTTATAATTTTTATTGTACTTATCAAATACATACGAATATGATTATCATCATAATTATTTTAATTCCATATAAGTGATAATATTGAATATTCAGTCAAACGAATATTTTAAATTAATTACGTTAAAAACAAACTTATGGGGATTTACATTAGTCTATGCTTTTCTTTACACTTAAAATAAAAAATTCCCAAAAATTATAATAACCAAATGTTATCTCATAAACATATCAATGTGTAACCTTACTTAATCATTTAATATTGAACTATATGCCACTATTGTAGTAAGAGAATATAATAGTTCACAAATAAATACATATAGCCGGACTAAATTAATCGGTGAATGAAAATTAATCATCTTTAGAACTGTTAGGCATTGCCTTTGACCGCAAGGTATTCCATTCTCTTAAGTACTAACAATGCCTAGCTAAGTGCAGAAATGTATCTTGCTAGACTCCCCATAAGTTTGCGCCCACGTTCTCCATTCGCAATAATGCCCAACAACCATATAACTTAGTCCATGGTTTCTGGCTTAGATAAATTAATCTTGCTAATTGTTAAGCCTATCTGTTCTCCTCTCTGCCCTTAAGTAATGGAATGGTGTGCATTCGGTGTACATGACTGCAATCTTCAGTGGTTTTAGTGGATTTTAGTCTCATACGATCTCACGGTGGAAAGCAAATCATATGAAATATTCAAGTTCACGTTTTTATTTCTAGGCAAAAAAAAATTGGTTCTAAAATTTTATTATTTTAATTCCATTAAAATTGTATAAAATATATAAAATTTACGTAAAATATTATACAAATACGTATATCAAGTAAATTAATTATAGCAAGTCTATTATATTATTCAACTGGTGGTGAATGGATTAAATTTAAATTTAGCATTGAGCAGTTGAGTAAACATAGGATCGGTAATGTGGAGTTTCTTAGTCTTTCAAATAAATTAGACATAAGTTGTTAGGCAAAAACAATAGATATATTTGATACATACGATACGATCAGTGACTAGATCTTAGCAATAATTTACCTGCAGATCTTGCGACATTTTTTCTACTAGTTTCAAGCAACACCACTTTGGTGTGGTCGGCTTCATTCAGATTGACTATTAATCACATAATAACTAATTAAAATAATTAGTACTTAAACCACTTAACTCTGATAATGTAGATTGTTGTCCGATCATATTGATATTATTCAGCAGGTTGAAAATGATATTTTCTGTCAGCCATAAAAATTTCTTTATGATTGTCATATAAAGGATTTAGTGAATTCTAAACAAAAGAATGATAATGATAAACTTATGAGGAAATATGTTTTCAACTAATTTTGTTATATCTTCAAGATTATCTCCTTTCTACTACTTTGTCATATCTGTACTCTGTAGGTATTATATTTTAAACATTTTTTTTAAATAAATAAATTTGA